ATGGGTCTATCTGGTGGCCAGAATAGGTTGGAATTCCTAAGGATGAACTGCGAAGTTTTATTTTTTTCTTTATTGAAGAAAGGCAGTATACGTTTGATGATAAAGTAAGTCTTTAGTAAGACAGACATGACTTCTCCTCAGAAGCAAGTGAACTGCAGAATGAACGCTGAGGAAGACTTTGTTGGCAAGCATTATTGTTGAGCGAAATAAACTTTTTCTTGAAATATCTGCGGATAATCTGCCATTAAGTTTATAAATTTAGTAAAAAAAGACCTTTGAACCCTGTCGTTTCAGTGTTTATGACGAAGCTTTCAGGATTGTTGTTTTCTGTTAGAACACCTTAAAGAGTATTTAGTTAGTCTGTAATGGAATTTGAATTCGGTGACACAAAGCCTGGGCTGAATTCTGTGTTTTTTGGTTGCAAGGCACCTAACTGTGAAAGCTTGTTAGTTGTTATCCGTACATTATTATTATTTTTTTATCCTTTAATTCCTAGAGGAACATAGGGCTTCAGCTGCGCGTCTCCATTGCCTTCTGTTTTCTGCCAACTTTTTCACTCCGCTCCAGGTCTGCCCACATGCTTTCATCTCATCCGCACATTGATTTCCCGTAAATATATCTTCTCAGAGTTCTGTTACTGCGTCTATCGAGCCGAATTTCCTTTCTAAGTTACACAAGAGATCAGGGTGAAAACTGTTGTGATGAAGTGGGATCACTTAGCATTCTTAGATATAGCAAAGATGTTATCTACATATCCCGAGTATAATTCAAAAATGTATATTGTTTCTCTCAAATGTGCGTTCTAGCTGATAACTTGTAGCATCATTCTCTGAATCACAGTGATTTTTTTCATGTAAGTAAACAACGTTTTCACGATATCTTTCTGATCAGAAATAATTTGCAAGAGGTTATTTCCACCTAAATATCACCAAACAAAAGATGCTGTAAGGTAATGTGACTGCTAAATTATTAGTGAGATTCAATGGCAGTCAGATGTAACTTAGTGATTACCTTCGAGAGAGAGTGAGAGATCTAACAGTTGAAGTTAAAAAACATGACCATTTGGTCTGCCAAGTTGAATGCAAGGACGATTCTCGAAAATAACAGAAACTTTTTGTAAAACTTATGCCAGAAATTAAGAAAAATTTCGTATCAAGAACCATTAACCTGATCATCCTGATTTTGATCCTTCGTGGGGTTTCGGATATACTTTAAAGTATGTATATTTATGCAGTCCCATTTGTTTTGCTAAAATGAAACAGTAAAGTGTATTCAAACTTAACAAGTACTGGCTTACCGCTTTTATAACACTAGAACTTGGGTAATGTGGTAGAATATTATCATATATAAGATAAGTTTATCTCAGATAGTACAGTGAAATATCATTAAAAACTAGTTGACTTTCCGAGCAGAACTTATTGTCCACAGTCATATCAGTGTGTTCACACCTCTTAATTACTTGCTTAATACTGCCACATTTCCCTCTGTTTCCATATATCGGGTATAGACGCTACGTCATTCCGATTGCACGTATTTGCTGTTGGTTCAGTGAACAAGGATGCAGTGATTAACCACTAAATGTACTACTTTTTTACGCTTTGATCGTATCCCACCTTACTGTATAGCTACATGCAAGTGAATACAAAGCAACATCCGAGGTCTTTTCCGGATTACTCAAGTTATCATTGTCAATCATTCTAGCTCTAGCTAAATTCTTATTTTTCCCCTGATCTAATTTACACCGATCTAGTAGCATGATCTATGTAACTGATCTCACAGTAATTATAAGTTATTTCATAAATTATTTTATCTTTCTTAACCGAATCAACACGGTTACTAAGCCAATAAGGTTGGTTTCTGGGTGAGTTTGTTGGCTTAGATGTTACCCGAATTCCAGCCTTACTAAGAATCCTACGTAGGGCCTCTGATGTTCCTTCTTTATATCACAGTAACTATTGAGTCTTTGAATTGCGTATTATTTGTTATTTCCATCATTTCCAATGCTACTCTTATCTTTTTCATCAGTCTTAAGACATTTTTGAATAAAATCTGGTGGATAGCTATTCACCAGTAGTAATATCTTCCTTATTTGACTGATTTCATTATATAAATCTTCTAACTCACTGGTCAGGCTCCTGGCTTGACTTAACCAAAACCACCTTCATCTATTTTGGGTGGAATGAATCAAAGTCAAAGAACTTATTAGGATGTGACGGATTTCTATAGATGTTAGTATCTAACCCACAAACGTCTTTTAGTTTGATTTTACGGCATAACACAGCTGACCCACTCTTTTAGTTTTCTAACTCGAAAATGAATTGGACTCCATGTACTACTGAGTGTATATGCGTGAAAAACTTAGAGATATATTCAGATTTCAGCACTGTCAATGTGTCACCCCCATATCTACACCATAACTTCGGTGCAGGATTGAACATTCTAAGAGCTTTACGTTTCCGACTACCTAGAAATGTTTTTCTTTTTGTACTCCCCGAGATACTGTTGTAAACAGATCCCCATTTATACATTTAGAAGATGAAAGGCTTTGTTTCAGGTCAGAATGTTGTTATCCTCAACAGGCTACTATTTGATCACAATAATATAGTGGGAAAAGAGAATTTTCTTCATGAAGTATCGTGAAAATGTATCTGATAAAAATGTAAGAAAGTAGTCAAATCAGTTTGAGTAATCTACAGTGTGGATGTGCGAATTATGCCATCTATGCTGATATAATTCTTAGTTGTGGTGTAAATAGTTGGTTCAAAAAATTCAGTGTTATACGAGTTCTTAGTGAAACTGACCATTTCGATCGGACAGAAAGTAAAGCCTAGCAAAATCCACCAGTACTATGTAGTAGTGTGCTGTTGTGATACTGACAATGTGTTCTAACGGAATATGTTTCCCACATATTTCCACAGTACCATACGATATTAGCAACAGAATACTATATATGTATTTGAACATTCTATTTCATGTCGTTTAATGTAAACCAAAATCATACGTTCAGTGGTTGGTTGACGAATATAAACTGTACAGATATAAATAGCTGTTTGATTATTTGGAAATATACCTTGGCTTCTTTGTCTTGCCTTCTGTTGTTACAATAGTATTTTCGGAGATTTTTGTAAATTGACACCATCGATATATATATATATATATATATATATATATCGTTTGTGACATCAGTATTTACACATTCACATGTACACTGATGTGCAAACAGTTTGCAAAACAATGCACTAAAGATTTCTTTAGTAATTGGTGCCAAATGAAAAATATCCAACCCCAGTATACAAAAACCTGTTTGCTAAGCTAAAAAATAAAATAATGAAATAAAACATTTCTATTTAAAAATACTTGTAATTATTAGTAAGTTGTTATTGATAATTAATTGAAATGTGCATAAGGATATTTTGCTGGTCGGCATTGGAATGCTTTAAACTCATTTATGTGGATGTTCATCAACTATTCTCGATAGATTCAGTGATCGCTGATTTAGAGTTACCTCAAAAACACATAGTATATGCTGGTGTATAAATTTCATATTTGACTTGAAAATTTATTTAGTAGGTAGACTGGACGAGCCAACTAACAGTAAGTACTGAGTGGGACGCAACAATATTATATGATCCATGGTGAAGGAATTTATTGAAACTCTAATCTGTATATCAAAGTAGACTTTATGTTAAGAGATAATCAAATATATTTAGTGTCATTTTCTATGTTAATCATATTCAGAAACTGTAGAGACTAAGAAATGATGCTTGACTTTCATCTGATGAGTTTTGTCAGTCCGTAAGTCAGAATTAAATTGTTTTGGCTGATTGTTTTTCCATAAAGAAATAAATAAATCATAAGTTTTGTGATTCACGACCTCTATGGTTCAGCACTTATTATTAGACCATGATTTTATCTACATAACATCGAGAGTACATATCTGCACCAAGCACAATGCTCCTCCGTGTCTGTAATTGATTTCGTTCCTGGATAAGGCACTCATAAGATGCCTCATAAGTATGCATTTAAATTGCAGTTTGATCGTTAATCTTCAATTACAAGTCATCTGTCTGTTAGGAAAACTTGATATCTGATGCATTGTAAGACTTTAGCTTTGTTGTCACATAGTCCTCAATACTTTTTCCACTAATACCAACTGATCAATTGAATGAGAATACAAAGAATATCAGTTAACAGGTGAACGTCTTTTAACTGTCTGATATTGATGGTTCACGTCAATTTTTTTTCGATAAGGTCAACACTTTATAGTCACGAATACAAACTGTAAGCAGAAGGGTTACATATTCTATGAAAGAAGCGTGTAAGCTATAATGACGAATTTCATTGTGACACATGAGGTTCACTGTTTTTTCCTAATGATCTGAGTTGCATCAGTATTGTCATAGTAGACATTCAGAAGTGCTGACAACTGTTAAGGTAATTTTCTGATTGGGTGATATAGGAAACTACATTGATGTTACGAGTGACCTTCAGCACTGCTAATCGGTGTAAAATTAGTCCAAGATAAGTTATATTTCAGGTGGTCAGTAATTAGCTTTGCATAGGACACGAGAAATTCATGTGTACTGATTCTTACATCTCCACGGGGCAATAAAGACATTCTGAATTAAATGAATATTTAACCGCCTAACCACTATCACTTTTGCCTCCCTGCTATTTTCAAAATTCTCGTACAGGTTTTCGATCGAAACAACAAAAGATAAACTATTCTAAAATATACCACATACAAGTCTAGGATCAATGTATTTTCGACTGTTCGATTGGTCAATTCTCTGGCCAATGCGTAAACTGCCCACACTTAGAATTTTGTGTAGCAAATCAAACATTCTACTAGTGTTCTTCCATTTTATTGGTTAAACTGTTTCTTTTGGTTATTTCGCTAATTTTCAAAACTTACCGGGGAAAAGTAGTTTTGTGAATTGTATACTTGAATTAACTTCCTTAAGAGATAGTAAAAGGATCCACCTTGCCTACTGGTCAGGATGTGTAAAGTAATCTCAAGTACAATTTTAGTACTGTTCAATATACCACTTGTGGTACGTTTCTCTTTTTTTTTCTTTTTTCCTCGTTCACTGATTTACATGTAATGAATTTGACAATTCACATCTCAGTTTATATTTTCATAATATGAGCAATAATTGCCTTATAGTTCATCCTAAAAGTATTATATCCTTATGAAAATCGTTAAGTGCAAGCAGTTCAGGCATAATGGTTATTATCTTACTGGTTTTTCTTAACATTTTTTAAATCAAATTAACCTAACTAGACAAAGTTTTGAACTGTCGTGAAGTGAGTGTAGATTTTCAGCAAGGCTAGTGATTTATAGGGTCAAAATAATCCACCTATCTCATTTCATTGAGAAGATCTGATTCATTGAAAAAAAGTCCATTTATTAGTATCATCGCATTCGACTAGTGCCCAAATATTCAAGTGTTTACCACGTAATTTGAGAATTGATAAAATAAAATGAATTAAATCCAGTTGGATTTGGATTATATGACATTTTTCCAGTGAATCACGTTACAATGTCTAAAGTCACTTACAATAAGCCAAAGTATTATACGGTAAATTTCATAATGAGGCTTTTAGGTAAAGTTAGCACAAAAATTTGCAACGTATTTCCTCAATGTTTTTTTTTCTAGAGATTATAGCTAATTAGAAAACACCTTTGTGCATCTGTGTGAAATCACACACAGAAATTCTGTTTTCAAGCTCTGTACATGACCCCAGTCTGACAAAATGATGTTTGCACAATAGGTTGAATACCGGTAAACACAATCACTTCAGGAAAATAAATATGCATCGTATACTTGTGACGTTTTTAAGTTCAGTTTGAGATATGAGCAACAAACGTACATGTCCACATGGGTTTGTTTTAGAGCTATAAAATTAAAATCCAGTTTTCACTCCACACAGATTTTGGTTACTGATCCCCTAGAAAGCATAATGTTTGGGACAGCTACTTTAACTGCTTGTCATCAACACTTGGTAGTAGAAGCACATCTTACACCTTAAAATGACACTTTTATCCTTTTAGATGACCAGCGTGTTGACAATTAAAGTGGTAAAGCTGACCCTTGTTTTTCAATACAATGTAACGCTTTTGATGGCTCCCAGGTATTGTGTTAAAGGTCGTTCAAGCGATATCAGTGTTTCTAGAACGGCCTAAGAGCTTTCAAAAGATTATAATATTACATCATAAATTATTCAAATTAATCCCAGCGTGTTTAAGAAAAAAAATCAAAACAAGACTTTTCTGAACGTTTCGCTGTGTAAGCCACAGCTTCTCCAGAAGATTTATTCGCATTTTTATCAATCATCAAAATATATAGTCAAAAAATTTTGCATAAATTGAAGTCAGTTTATTTGAAGGTCATTTGTCCATGGACATTTGTACCAATAGAAATATGTAAGCAGTCATCACATATATTTGTAATGACTATATTTTGATGATTGATAAAAATGCGAATAAATCTTCTGAAGAAGCTGTGGCTTACACAGCGAAGCGTTCAGAAAAATCTTGTTTTGATTTTTTTTCTTAAACACGCTGGGATTAATTTGAATAATTTATAGTGAATCAAGCTGACTCGGCGCCCAAATTATTCCAGGAAGTTCGTAACACCTACGGTCTGGAAACTTATAAGATTATAATATTGTTTTGCTGAAGTCGAAAAATTGATGAAGAATATATTATGTTAACTTACATTTTGCGTACAGTGATAGACATGCGCAGACTGAATACTAGGGAAATACAAGCCGCCCAAAGCACATTCCTGTAAGATTTGATAGTATGAAATATTCCCATGTTAAAAATTAAAAGTCAATCTGAACGAAGAATATTCTTTTCAATAATTTCTCCTCAGGTTCATACAATTATAAAATATAATATTTGTTATCGTTACAATAAAGGTCAGTTATGCGGCGGATACATTTTTAACGTAGAATAACAGATTGGCAGTTATGGGGTGTCAAAATAAATAGTCGTATTTGTGTGACAAAACGTGCTAGGCTGAAATCGATCACCAAAATATTGTAAAACGGGAGAATCCTGTAAGCTAATTTGCATACCTCAAAACCCAATTAGGACATATTTTCCCACAGTTGCATATATCACCGGCATCTACTAAAGCAGTCTACTGTCTACAGAAGGAGTCAAGTGGTAGAGCAGTAGACATAGCAAATGAAACGTTCACATTATTTTGTTGGAATTAATCTCTACTACTGAACAACCTTTTGCCAATCTTCAGCTGTTCATAAAACATGTAGTTTTCAGAATTCTATGCACGAAATGATTTAGAATTATGTTAAAATAAAAAATTATGCGTCGCCGTACACTGTTTGTTTGACTAAGTAAGATGAAATATATGTTACTCAGCAATCGTAGCGGCTATACATTACATTTAGTAAACGTCTTTAGAATACTACAATCCCTACCTAATCATATTACATATGCATTTTAATTGGTTGGCTTGTAAATAAATTAATTCAACGGTATATGCATTAGAAATGAAGACTGCTGTCATGTGAAAAGCATAAGTTTCGTAAAGGTCACTTAAAAAGAATCCACTGGTCACCTGATCAGTTCCTATGTGGTTCACATCTACTGCATTGTTAGTTTACTTTATATTCTAGCAGCATCAGTCACAAACTTGAAATACTACCGCTAGTCCGAGAACATTTTACCGGAGAGTATAAAACTCTAACAAGTTCACTATCAGGGAAAGACGATTTCTTTATTTTATATTCTGCAGTGCAGTTTTCATCAAATTGATTGTTGATGTCGCCTTCAACAGAATTTAACTACTTGAGGATGCACTACAAACTTACTTTTATTTGCTTTTGGGAATATTAATAACTCTCAGTTCTCGGTTAAGTCAGTTGTGTGTATGCGATCAGTTTAAAAAAAGATCAAGTAATAAAGAAGTAATATTCGTAACAATGGACTGATTAGCTATCACATCACCATATACAGATTTGGTGGACACCAGTTAGTAAGTAACTAATGTCATGTGTCTGGTCCTTTGTTTAATGCAGACTGAATTTTATCAGCCAAGTAACATTGCGAACATGCCTGATAGAATTAAGTATTCATCAAATAAAGGACAAGACGCATGACATTAATTACAGTTTTATAGAAGCCCAACTGCCCACTTGAATAGCTCGTCTGTAGCCTCTCTGATTACAGCACTCGGTGACCCAAGTTCAGATCCCAGAAGGGACATGAGTTCCTTCAAGATTGCAGATCCGTCTTGCTGACGAGCACCAACAAGAACAAAACCTAAGTCCAAGCGTTCCTGCTGACTGCTCCCAATTGTTTAACATTTCACAGTTTTTGTTGATGAAATTATATTATGGACATAATCACATGATTTCGAGACTTATTTGTGCTTTTTTGTTATGATTATTTAATACTGACTACTGTTTATTATATCTGTATATTGTGCTTAGGTAGGTCTGATCCACTTGAACATTTTATGAAGGCGTAACTAGACTGGTTATTAGTACTCTTGTAAGATTATTTTCACGGTGCTCATTCTCACACTAAAATCAACTTTGCAAATGAGTTAAAAAAGTTATTTAAAAAGTTAATAATAACAATAATATCATACTGAACATTTGTGTGTAGATAGAAACATAGATTATTGCATACACCAGGTGTACAAAATCTGTCAAAATAAGGCAAACCAAATCAGTATATGGACAAGTGGTTTAAATCTGTATTGATTTTGATTGTAAATAAGGCAGTTTTAACTTTAACTGCTTACTTTAGAAGAGAGAGCTAAAGTTAACGGGAGAAATTATAAATACTTAGGACAACTTGAACAAAGTAAACAGCTCAATAAATAAAATATCGAAGGGCATGAGTTTGTAAACAAAAAAAAGATAATTACGTATATTCAAGGGAAAACAACTGACATTTGATCGAAAAAAATATTGTAGGACAACTTTACTGCATTCAGTTTCTAGTGGTGTACTGCGGATAACTGGATAAGCTGTATTCTTGAAGAAAATAAGTCAATAGGCGGTTTTACAGTTCACTTGAGAAAGGAAATTCAAATTAACAAACACTAAATTTATAGATATGCCACGAAATAACTTCTGTCTTGAGGAAATTCAGAAATCTACTGCATAACTACTAGCTAGTTAAACATGTCACCAGTGAATATCATTTAATTATTATTGGTCTAACACCTTCTACATGAGCCCAATAATTCACTGCCTTACCTAAGTGGAAATGTTCTGCAAAAAATCAGCTGAAAAAAACGCCAGTTTTGTGTTCTCTTCTTTTCCTATGCCTGCAGGCAAATTTTTAGGAGTTTGTGATCCTTATGGGAAAAAACCCTCTGCAAACAAGTATTTCGCAGAACACCTTGTTTCGCTGAACAGATTTTCAAGTAATGTAGCAATTTAGATATGAAATATAAACATTGTTCTAATCAAACTATTATAGATTTTAATTATGTATGTATGATTTTGAGGTAAAAGAGAATACCTGCAGGTTTTAGTAAGCCGTTGGAATATTTTTGAACAGATGAATCAAGACCTCAAAATTACACGGGAACTTCTGTTTGGGGTGCGAAACTTCGACTGCACAGTTCTCCACTAGTGGGCTGAGTTCAGTGATCAAAAGAATTGTACGCACACTTCCATTAACGGCATAAAATCCTATCGTCTTTTTACTCAATGATTTATTTTTGGTCACTTATCATATTTTCATTATCAACTTTCAACTCATTAGTAGTGTAAAGATGAATTTCTTGAAGTTGTTGTGTTGAGAATTCGTGGCTAATAGTGTCTACCAGGTGCAATGTGAAGTGGATGTTGACGGTGGATATGTATCACTCATGGATAGAGCTTAGAACTCATTACACCTGAGCCGAGTGGCTGAATAATAAACAGACTTCATTCTTAAACTAAATGTAGTGGATTCAACCTCTGGTAGAGAGAAGCATAGGTGAACGCTTCCACAATCTCAAGCAAAAATGAAGTATCAACATCATGATTACAGATTTTGTTGTCATTACTACCAGTTTAT